AATAAGAGGATTTGTCCAATAAGCCCAGTTACACCTTTGACATCTTTTATATCCTACATCCTGAAACAACTTTTTTTTTTTGGTGAGACAGAGTCTAGTTCTGTCACCGAGGCTGGAGTGCAGTGGTACAATCTTGGCTCACTGCAACCTCCGCCTCCTGGGTTCAAGTGATTCTCCTGCCTCAGCCTCCTAAGTAGCTGGGACTGCAGGCAAGCATCACCACACCCAGCTAATTTTTGTATTTTTGGTAGAGACAGGGTTTCACCATATTGGCCAGGCTGGTCTCGGACTCCTGACCTCAGGTGCTCCACCTGCCTCAGCCTCCCAAAGTGCTGGGATTATAGGCATGGGCCACCGCACATAGTCCCCAGCATTTTTTTTTAAAAGACAGGGTCTCCTTCTGTTGCCCAGGTTGGGGTGCAGTAGCACAATCATGGCTCACTGTAACCTTAACTCTTGGGCTCAAGAGATGCTCCCTCCTCAGCTTCCCGAGTAGCTGTGACTACAGGCACATACCACCATGTCCAGCTAAATTTTTTTTGTTTTTTGTTTTTTTGGAAGACACAGTGTACTGCTACATTGCCCAGGCTGGTCTCAAACTTCTGGGCTCAAGTGATCCTCCCACCCCAGCCTCCCAAAGTGCTGGGATTATAAGCATGAGCCATTGTACCCAACCACAACCTCTTTTTCAAAAAGGAGAACAAAGTATGTAATAAAGATGTTTGAGAGCTAGTAGTTTAAAGTCTTTTGGGGAGAGGGACAGGGTCTTATTTAGCTCTGAATACCTCATATCATCTTGCCTAGTATTATTACTATCACAGTAGTCACTCAAATCTGGTGAAATGATTAGTGTTAGCATTAAATCAATGTCAATACTGTCTTTAGTTCAATAAATTTGCAAAACTATATCTCCTCATACAAGAAACCTGATTCCAAACTTCCTTGATTGTGAAAAGACGTTTTATTTACCTCGAGGATTCAATAAAATAATATATGGCAAAATGCTGGGGTAGATTCTGAAGTGCTTTGAGTATATGATATAAAAAGCTCAGCCTCTTCTAAGGTAGTCGTTTAGACTCAGGCTTCATTTTCCTTACTATGAGAAAAAACTCTAACACAGGTTTGCATCCCATCTCTGGCCTTGGTTTTCTCTGAGGAGGGTGAAATAACAAACTCTAAAGTTCCTTCTAGCTCCAGACACTGATCTGTAAACCTTTTTTAAAAGGGTCAAGATTGCATTCCTCAGCATGAACGTTAGACTACTTCCTCACCCACTCCATTTCCCCAGGACCCCACGCTTCCTCTCAGGAATGGCAGCAAGTAATTCATGATTTAAGTTCTTGAAAAGACCTATTTTCTACTCATTTTACATACAGACTTAAGTTGAATTTATTCATCGAAATTAGATCTTCAGAATAATCCAAATAATTGTTGTAAAACTGTACATGCCTCAAAGGAAAAAAAAAAAAAAAAAACCGGTCAAAACAGCCAACTGTGTGCTGGGCGTGGTGAAGTCACATACATAATCTCAGCACTTTAGCAGGCTGAGGCCAGGAAGACCAGCCTGGGCAACACAGCAAGACCTCCATCTCTTAAAAACAAAATTTTTTTAAAAAATTAGCCAGGCGTGGTGGTGCATGCCTGTGTTCCAGGCACTAGGGAGGCTGAAGTGGGAGGATCATTTGAGCCCAGGAGTTTGAGGCTGTAGTGAACTATGATCGTGGTACCGCACTCCAGCCTAGGCAACAGAATGAGATCCTGTCTCTAAAAACAAAAATAAAAACATGTTTAAACTGTAAAAATAAACCTATTACTAACTCTAAAAAGTAAATTTGGTTTTCCAATTAAGGAAAATTTATTTCCTATGTTTTAAATAAAAAAATAGTCCAAAAAAGTCACTTATACTCAGAAATAACAATAAATAAACACAAACTCATTCATGGAAAAAAATTTTAAGTTACAATTAAAAGAGAATTGAAACATCTGTGACATAATGCAAATGTATCTACCAGATACTACCACATGAAAATGAAATCTTACCCCCCGAAAAACACGTTAAAACACTCAAATTGTGCAGGTAAGGGCAATTTACGTATTTCAGATTTATGTGATTTAAAATAATTTTTTGGTATACAGTAGTTTTAAAAACCTTGCCTACTTTTACCCTTCAGTGAATAGTGTCCCACTAAAAGAGAACACTATTCTAATGATACTTCCAAGCAAGAAACCTGTCTTTATGATGTAAACCAGGGCTACCGGATCCAGATAAGGTTTGCTATTAGGATGCTTCTAAAGTAATAACCTTTCAAAGAAAAAAAAAAAACTTGTTGGAGGCAGGACTGAGTCTCGCTCTGTCACCCAGGTTGCAGTGAAGTGGCACAATCTCAGCTCACCGCAACCTCCGCCTCCCGGGTTCAAGAGGTATCTCCTGCCTCAGCCTCCTAAGTAGTTGGGATTACAGGCGCATGCCATCAAGCCCGGCTAATTTGTGCATTTTCAGTAAATACGGGATTTCACCGTGTTGGCTAGGCTGGTCTTGAACTCCTGACCTCAGATGATCCATCCGCCTTGACCTCCCAAAGTGCTGGGATTACAGGTGTGAGCCACCGCACCCAGCCAGAAAAAAAATTTTTAAAGTAATGCCTGCATTAATAATTGCTAGTTAATTTAGTTTTTAGGCACATTGCATTTTTAAAACTTAAAATTCTAACTTAATTTCCAGAGATAAAATTGATCCTTTCACTCTCAATATCAACGTCAAGATGGCAGCTTCTTATTTGACAGTTACTCTTAGTATTTAATTATATTTTACATATACCGAGTGTTTCAGGGCCTTAAAGTTCATTACAGTTCATATATATGAATATGAAAAATATTTCATATATATATGAAAAATACATATATATATATGTATGTATTTTTTTTTTTTTTTTTTTTTTTTTTTTTTTTTTTTTGAGACGGAGTTTCTCTCCTGTTGCCCAGGCTGGAGTGCAATGGCGCGATCTCGGCTCACCGCAACCTCCGCCTCCTGGGTTCAGGCAATTCTCCTGCCTCAGCCTCCTGAGTAGCTGGGATTACAGGCACACGCCACCATGCCCAGCTAATTTTTAGTATTTTTAGTAGAGACGGGGTTTCACCATGTTGACCAGGATGGTCTCGATCTCTTAACCTCGTGATCCACCCGCCTCGGCCTCCCAAACTGCTGGCTTGAGCCACCGCGCCCGGCTATTTTTTTTTTTTTTTTTTTAAGACAGAGTTTCGCTCTTGTTGCCCAGGCTGGAGCGCAATGGTGCAATCTCAGCTCACTGCAACCTCTGCCTTCCAAGTTCAAGTGATTTTCTGCCTCAGCCTCCCAAGCAGCTAGGATTACAGGCATGCACCACCACGCCCGGCTAATTTTGTATTTTTAGCAGAGTCGGGTTTTTACACGTTGGTTAGGCTGGTCTCGAACTCCCGACATCAGGTGATCCGTCCACCTCGGCCTCCCAAAGTGCTGGGATTACAGGCATGAGCCACACCCGGCCACAGTTATTATATTAGTAATTACAACATGTGCACTGTAACATTCCCTTTTTAAAGAGGTGAAAATATACGTTGAATAAGTTATCCAAGGTCACCCAACAAGTAAGTCACAAAGTTGGGAGTAGGAGTAAAACTTCAGCTCCTTGACTGAAGACTACTTCAAGCTTTTGCAATACCAAAAGAGAAAAAAAAAAAAAGGTCAAGCGATTTACCTTCAATAACTTCCAACAGCATACCCTAAACACTTACTATCATAAACGCTAATAAAAAAGATTCACCCTGAACGAAAGAAACAACTTGCTACATTTAGATACCACTGTCATTTCCTCAGCTCTTTTAACAAGCAAAAATCCTGTACTGGATCTGGCTATTTAAATCCTAGGAAATGTTCACTCTTCACTATGTACAATTTATTTTCATGCTAACATACATTTACGAATTAATCTTTTATCACCTTGTCCCATTTGGAGGTGGTGTGGGATGCATTAATTTCCTCACTCTTCCATGAAATCAAGTCCAAGACTACAAACTCAAAAATAAGCAATTCTCAGTGAAAACACAGTTACATAGCCAATGAAAAAAAAGCTCTAATAAATTGCTGCTTTTAAAGAGATACTTTTAAAGGATGCTTACATGCTTCACAGAATTACTGGTAACTCACCCGCCAAGAAGGATGGTCCCTTTAAAGCAGCTTTTAAGGCATATTCCTCCCTGTTTGAGACACAGTCTGACTTGCTGGACAAGATTAATCTGGGCACTCACACACCACCCCTCTGAACCTGGAAACAACTGTAGTACTCAGCTCTTCTCATACTACAGGGACAAGATGACCCTCCTTAACAATCTTTGAGAAGGTCCCCTCGGCGGAGACAGTGACAGCCGTCCTCCCGCGGATGTTTTCGGAAACAGAAGTGTTAACACCAGGAGAAGCTCCTAGGAAGTGTCAGTGCGGCAGCAGGTGGAGCAGCCCTGCGTGCCGAGCAGGTTCTTTCTGACCTAGTCTCGGTCCTCCGGTCCCCGGCCCGGGTTCCGCCTTACAGAGATCTTGCTAAGCCGTCTTGCGCCCCTGTTCTCTAACCCAGGGAGAGACTTCCAACCCCCCAGGGAGGCGAGGCAATCGAAGCAGGCAAGACGGCCACCCCACCTCTTCCGGGGACTCGCAGGCCCGCTCCCTGGCCATGTCAGAGCCTGACGGACCAGGCTGGAGGGGACGCAGCCGGCTCCTCCCGGAGACTCCCAGGCGGAACCCCGCGCCCCCCGGTTCCTTTCCACAGCCCCCACTCCTTCGAAACGCCACCGCCACCACCCTCCTCACTCCAGAATCCCCTCTCCTCAGGAGCACCCCAGTGGAGTTACCGGCCCACTCAAAAGTAAGAGCGACGGCCACCCGTCTCGGTCACCCTGGCCCCGCTGTCACCGCCCTGCTCCCGGCCTCTGCCCACGCCGCTGGCGGGCCCCGGTGACGCCCGGGTCGGTACCTTGCGGACCCCCTTGTAGATATAGAAGTAGAGCTCCCGGCCCACATTGAAGCAGAGGCGGTCGCCGTTGCCAGACTGGTCGTTGAGGTTTACGAAGGAGACGCGGACAGGGTTGGATCCCTGCGAGTTGAACGGCACCCGGTTGGGCCGGCTGTACTCCGAGTGCGGCAGCAGCTTGTACAGACCTTCCCGGGTAGTGAATTGGGTCTTAATCTCGTTCATCTCCTTCCCTCCTCCCTCCGTCGCCATCTTGGAAAGCAGCGTTCATCCTGCCCTAAGTGCCCGGATCACGCCCACCGCGCAGGCGCTGTTCCTGGTGCTCGCTTTCTCCCCACCCCCTGCCTCTTCCTTCTCGCCCCTCCCACACGCGGGCCAGCCCCACGAAGGCGGGCCGAAGAGAAGGGGCGGGCTTGTTTACGGCCCGACTGCGCAGGCGTGCTCACCTGGCGCGCTCCACGCGGCGGGGCGTCCGCATGCTCCTCCTTTGGGCGTGGCCTCCCGGCTTCTGGGCTGCTTCCCAGGTGAAGCCGGCTCCTGCTGAGGGGGCGTCCAGTTGGTCGTTCCGCGTCCGCCAGGGCCGACGGAAAGCCGGTCTGGGGAAGCCGCGGCGGGGCTGGCGTCCGGACCTTGAGGTGAACTTGAGGGCGCCTCTTCAGCTGTCTCCCGCCCTGCCCTGAGGGGCACCGAGACCCCGAAGAGAAGAGCGGAAGAAGAACGCCACCCGGACTGCCACTGCTTCTGGGGCAGCACGCGGGGTCCCCTGCAGGGAGTTGGGACGTCTCCATCCCCACTGGGCCCCCCCTTCGGGACTGGGACTGTCCCGCCTGGAGGGCTTGAGGACCCGCGCGACCGTCTGGATCCCCTGTCAGGAAGCCCCTGTGAAGCCTCCTCGCCGCCGTTTCTGAGAAGGTACTGAAGGACTCAAGATTGACGCTTCACTGTATTTTTTTTTTTTTTTTTTTAGGCGGGGTGGGGAGAGAGAAGAATGTGGCAGAGCATGGGTATTCTCGAGCCACATGTCCTCACTCCTGTGTGGTGAGCACTGGCGGCCTCCGCTTCTTAGCGAAGGTTTGTCCTCACCAGGTGTTCCTAGACAGGGGGCGGGGCGGGGCAGCGCCGTGGGAACTGCCGACTGCGTCTTTGCAGGATTCACGTCTCTTGCTCAGTAGTTTATGAAGAGCTCTAATAACATTTAAGGTAATTGATTCTTTTTCAGAAGCCTCAGGTGGAGTCTGTACGATTGTTTACTAGGAGATCCGTAGGGATAGTGGTATGCATGTAATACACAGGGTCTAGATTTATAAGGACGGGCACACATGCCAAAGTAAGATTAAACAGTCGCTATTTTATACCTGGGTTTCTTGGCATGTTGCACGAGAATAAGAAAGTTTCTAAAGTGACAGAAACATTCTGATAGAATTCCAGGGAGGGGGGAAACCAACATTTGTAACACTGAGATTGAACTATTCCTGAAAGTTCAGATTAATCTGGAGGGTCACAAAAGAAGTGAACGGGGGCAATTTCTAAATTAGTAGAAGTCTAAATCATAAACATTCTTCTGTACCACAAAGCAAGTAGATACCAATAGAAACTGTGCCAATGATGTAATGGTACATTTGATAATATCTTCCTCCTTTGTAGTGTTGGCAAAAAAAAAAAAAGCCCTGAAGTCCTACTTAATTAATAGAGCCTTTAAAATACTCAAATTTTTTTGTTACAATTGTTTTGGTGTTATCTGACTTCCCCTAAAAGTCAGAAATCTTAAAATACTAGGGTATGGGCCAGGTGCGGTGGCTCATGCCTGTAATCCCAGAACTTTGGGAGGTGGGCGGATCACGAGGTCAGGAGATCGAGACTATCCTGGTCAACATGGTGAAACCCCGTCTCTACTAAAAATACAAAAAATTAGCCAGGCGTGGTGGCACGCGCCTGTCGTCCCAGCTACTTCGGAAGGCTGAAGCAGCAGAATCAGCTGAATCGTTTGAATCCAGAAGGTTGAGTGAGCGGAGATTGTGCCACTGCACCCTAGTGAGACTCACCTCAAAAAAAAAAAAAAACCAAAAAACCAAAAACCCACCAGTGTATGTTCTGTGGTTGCCATGGCTATATCCCAAACTCCATAACTGTCATACTTTATATTGAAAGCACATATCTTACAGTAATCAACTTGAGGGATACTGACAGCTTCAATAATCTAAAAACAATTTATCAGTGTTTCCTAGTTATCAAGAGGAAAAAAGGTATTTATACTTTTTGGGGGAAAAAACCCAGCAAGCAAAAGTTAAAAAAAAAAAAAATTTGAGCTGGGCACAGCAGCTCACGCCTGTAATCCCAGCACTTTGGGAGGCCGAGGTGGGTGGATCACCTGAGATCAGGAGTTCGAGACCAGCCTGGCCAACATGAAGAAACCCCGTTTCTATTTAAAAAAAAAAAAATTGTATTATTTCTCAATTAACCACAACATTCTATTTCCCATAATACCTATATAATTCAAGCATTCTATCAAGATTTTACCCTATATAAATTTAACATTTTATTATTATCGCAGTAATAGACTATTCACTTCATCTCATGCATAGCCTTTGAATAATCTCTATTTTTATTATTTTTCTCTCAAACCTTTTCTTCCACCCTATACTCAAAGATCCAGTAAGTAACACCCAAATCTAAATAACTGGGCCTGAATGCCAGGTGTGGTGGCTCACACCTGTAATCCCAACACCTTGGGAAGCCAAAGTGGGCAGATCACGAGGTCAGGAGTTTGAGACCAGCCTGGCCAACATGATCAAACCCTGTCTTTACTAAAAATACAAAAATTAGCTGGGCGTGTTGGCACACGCCGTAATCCCAGCTACTCAGAAGGCTGTGGCAAGAGAATCGCTTGAACCTGGGAGGTGAATGTTGCAGTGAGCCGAAATCGCACCACTGCACTCCAGCCTGGGCAACAGAATGGGACTCCATCTTGAGGGGAAAAATAAACAAATAGATAAGCAACTGGGCCTGACCTAAACTTTATTTCTGACTTTCAATTTCAAACCAGGTTGGTTTTTTTTTTTTTTTTTTTTTTTTTTTCCAGACGGAGTCTCTATTGCCCAGGCTGGAGTAAAGTGATGCAGTCTCAGCTCTCCGCCTCCCAGGTTCAAGCGATTCTCCCACCTCAGCCTCCCCAGTAGCTGGGATTACAGGCACCCACCACCACACCCAGCTAATTTTTGTATTTTTAGTAGAGATGGGGTTTCACCACATTGGCCAGGCTGGTCTCAAACTCCTGACCTCAGGTGATCCACCCACCTCAGTTTCCCAAAGTGCTGGGATTACAGGCATGAGCCACCATGATCTGCTTTAAACTGGGTATTTCTAAATAAATTCATCATTCTAAACCTTATCAGTTCTTTTTTCATTTCAAACTGGAATCATTATAATGGTTTTGTGAATTATTTTCTTCTAAACAACTACCAAAATAATTTTCTAAAGATGGTGCTTTAGACATTACATATTCTTTTGCCCAAAAACTTTCAATTATTTGAAATATCCACACAATTTAAGTCATACACCAGCACTTCTCGGCCTGTTTCTTACCTATTGCATAAATCCTCCATTCTAGTCAAATGGTTCTGTTGTCATCTTTTTTTTTTTTTTTTTTTTTTTTTTTTTGAGACAGAGCTTTGCTCTGCCACCTAGAGTGTAGTGGCTCCATCTTGGCTCACTGCAACCTCCACCTCCCAGGTTCAAGCAAATGTCCCAAGTAGCAGGGACTACAGGCATGCACCACCGTGCCCAGCTAATTTTTGTATTTTTTGTAGAGATGGGATTTTGCCGTGTTGCCCAGGCAGATCTCAAACTCCTGGGCTCAAGCAATCCACTCACCTCTGCCTCCCAAAATTCAAGGTGTGAGGCACCATACCCAATCTGCTGTCATCTTAGCTATGTCCCTTGCTTAAGATGACCTTCCCCCCACTGCCCACCTTTCTCCTTTATAGCTTGTTATTTAAGAACTAGTTTAAATTCCATCCTCAATAAGCCCTGAGTGATAAAAACATATTTGAAACCAAGGATACTCAACTCAGGACCCATAACTGGCTTCAGGGAATGTTTAAACTCCCTATGATTGTGTTCAAATTTTTGTGTGCATATTCATTATATCATTAGAGTCTTGTCAACATGTGCTAAGTAGCTTGTATTTATTTATTTATTTTGAGTGTCTGGCTCTGCAGCCCAGGCTGCAGTGCAGTGGTGCAATCTTAGCTCACTGCAACCTCCACCTCCCAGGTTCAAGTGATTCTCCTGCCTCAGCCTCCTGAGTAGCTGTGATTACAGGCGCCTGCCACCACACCCAGTTAAATTTTTTTGTATTTTTTGTAGAGATAGGGCTTATCCATTTTGGCCAGGCTGATCTGAAACTCGTGACCTCAGGTGATCTGTCCGCTTCAGCCTCCCAGAGTGCTGAGATTACAGGTGTGAGCCACCACACCCAGCCCCCTTGTATTAATATTTATATTTTTTACATATATGTTACCTTTTAACCAGATTGTAGGCACACTTAAGCATAGGAGTAACCTTGTTAAAATTCTCTGTAGTCTCAATTTTTTTTCCTTTTCCTCTTTTTAGAGAAAGGGTCTCACTATGTTGCCTGGGCTGGAAGTACAGTGGTACAGGCCTGGCTCATTGCAGTCTCGTCCTTCTGGGTTCAAGACATCCTCCTGCCCCAGCCTCCTGAGTAGCTGGGACTACAGGAACACATCACCATGCCCAACTAATTTTAAATTTTTTTATAGAGACAGAATCTCACTATGTTGCCCAGGCTGATCTTCAACTCCTGGGCTCAACTAATCCTCCTACCTCAGCCTTACAAAATGTGATTACAGGTGTGAGCCACCACAGCCAGCCTATATTCTTAAATATTTGAGTAGTTACATATGCTACATTGTTCTAACTTTTGAAATGCATCAGTAAACAAAAACTCCTCATTCATGGATTTCATATTCTTGCAGGGAGAAGACAGGATAAGCAATAATAGAAAGACAATAAGCACAACTAAGTACCTCGTGTAGTGATTAGCGCTAGGAAAAAGAAGTAGGTCAGGGTAAGAGGGATTGAGAATATGTCAGGTAATTTGCAGTTTCAAATATGATGGCCAAAATAAGCCTCTTTGAGATACTGACATTTCTGCAAAGATTTGACAGAAGTAAGGGGGTGGGCCATGGGAAGAACTGAGGAAAGAGTGGACCAAGGACAGGAAAAACCACAGCAGAGGCCCCCAAGGCAGAAGTGTGCCTAGTGTGTTCAAGGAACAGTAAGACAGCTGTTGTGCTGGAGCGGAGTGAGCAGGGAAACCACTGCAGGGTTTAAGAATG